TAAGAGACAGTACCTAAGATATAATGTAAAATCATAATGTAAGACAATTACCAGGAAAAACTAATTTTWATCCATTACAATTGTATTATTTCAAAGAAAACTAATACCAGGAACTGCTTTAATAAYCACCATGATAATATAAGTATGACATTGATGGTAATGTATTGATGGTGTGTTATGATAGTGATTGAGATTATGATGATGATGTTGGTATTAACTAAAGACAATACAATATTGATGGCATGTATAGAAATACTGATAACGATTGCAATGATATCAATAATATATATGGGTTTATAATGTAAGCAATGAACATTATAGTGTGGAGTTTTCCTGGCCTATTTAGGTGATGTGGCTAATTCAAGTCAGTTTGCCTGAATGTGCCTTTGTCTTGTAGAAAATTCCACCATTCCTGACACGTGACATGCTGGACACCAACAAAAGGTGATCATGAGATCATAGTTGGACCTGGATTCATATACCAGTAAACTTTTTCAAATTTACTGTCATTGTATGAATCACTTAATTCTGTCTCAAGAAGAGATTTTTTCAACAAGATTGTACTGGATTATCGCCTTGTAAAGGTTGCAGKATGATTCCTCATTCCTTTCTTACTGTAACGTAGATCTGTTTTATAATGCATGCTTCTATAATGATTTGGTGATTATGACAAGGTCTTCTTCAAACAATTTTCTCAGTCCAAGAATACCTGCATTGACAAGTGGAATAATTTGCTGTTTTTGTGTTTACAGGACCCTAAGTGTTGTCGTGGATGTAAGCTGTGATGTATTAAGTCCATACAATCCTTTACCAATCTATGATACATGTACATCATTCCAACAGCCCAGTAGACCTGTCCAACTTGAGTAAGTAGCATTGTATAGGATTAGATAATAATAATATGATATAATATTTATGGGGGGAGGGGGGGGGAGTTGCCAAGTGAGCTAGTGGTTGAAGTTAACTGCTTTACTAAGATAATATATTTCTGGTGATTGTTTTTGGATAAGACTGTAGATTGATGCCCACCAGACTTTACTAACTCAGTAAAGAGGATGATGATGATGATTAAATTAATTTTTTTTAGACATTCCACTAAGCCTCTGGAGATTSTTGCTGTGGACTGTCTACCATCTCTTCTGCCTTGTGAAAGTAGTAAAAGCTTTTCTGAGGCAATGRTGCCCTATCTCTTGCAACTTCCTAAGGTAAAACAAAATATAAATACCATCAAGAATCGTTGTTGATCTCATCCTCATATCAAGGACACAATCATCATTGTTTTAATCTTTGTTGTTGTTTTTTTCTTTAGATTGAAAGCTGTTCATCTTTGGTCAGAGCTCTGAAGTTGTTTGAGGAAAAAKCCAGTGAAGCTAAAAATACCCTCGCAATGGCTGCTCAGTAACATTTTCCTGAGATCAAAGTCATTTCTTTTTTTGTAAATAGTTCCAGTAAACTAGAGTGACAGAAATGGATTTATGGATTTTGTATGACAGTGCATGCAACGGCACAGATCATGGCACAAACACAGCACAGACATGGAATCCCACGTAGCATTCCATAATACCATAAATTTCAAATGTATATATTCTAACAAATTTTTGGATAAATTATATTTGAAAATACAAAACAACACAAAAAAAAATCAATGCAAAGTGGGTATTAGACTTTTCCTAAAATTATTAAACAGTATAATGAAAGAGTTTTTATAGTGAAAGATGTAACAGACTGAGAGTGGTTTCCCTTAAAAAAAATAAAGTAATAATTGTATTTTACTGGAGCTTTATAGATTTATGTTTAATAAAATACAAATAATATGCTTATGAAATAGATACATGTTTTCTATTTTAATAGTCTTCATCACGGTTCCCTGCACCACCATCCTTGAAAGGTAGCTGTGACTTTGCATCAAAGCGAGATGAATGCTAAGAGTGCAATGATAGAAACCTTATTTCACCAGACAATTATTCACAGGCATCTATCAAGGCATGCTAAATGGTTGTCTTGCTTTTATGTAAATTTAAAAAAATTGGCACGGCTACCTTTCAAGATGGCACAGGGAAGGAGACTTGAATTATTGTTCATTCATGGGCTAGGGGAACATTTATGGGGTTCTCTTTAGCATCACAGTAAACTATCATGAGTCCAGGATTTTTCATTGCCCACTTGATATTATGTTTATAAGCTTAATGTCAATAGTCTGACATCTGTTGTTTTGTAAAAATGCAAAAAAAACTTGATTAAAACAACATTGTAGACACAATAAAAATGATCTATGAATGAAGGAAAACAAGTTGCAGAGGATTTTAATACCAATTTGAAAATCGAAAATCATCCTTTTCATTTGTTTATTTTTCTTCATTTTTTCCTTTTCACTTCACTGCACTCTTCTTAAGTGCTTGCGCTTGGCATTATGGGTAATGGGCAAGTCTACGTGGCCAAACTTGTGACGTCGAATGCGCAGGCGCAGACCAGTCTCATGAATAAGTGAGGGTATGACATCATAAACAGAGTCGGTAGAGAAAGAGAAGAGACCAAAAATCATCAAAATGTCTTATGCTTATCTTTTTAAATATATTATTATTGGAGATACAGGTCAGTTCGAAAGTATGAGGAATCATTCATCTACTTGTCGTGGACTGTGGAAGTGTTTCAGCGTTGTCTTTGTGTCTAAATCTACGGGTTTTTCGACAGCCGCCATTTTAGGCGAGATCATTTGTTCTTGGTTGCTGATCGTATTTTTCCTTTTTAATTCATCGTGTAGGAGTTGGTAAATCATGTCTTTTACTACAATTTACGGACAAGCGGTTTCAACCAGTACATGATCTAACTATAGGTAAGCGACAAATACTTCAAAATTCAAGTTTAGTCAATGAAGGAATGAATCAAATTTGAAAGGTGCATTTGATAGATATAAACTTCTTCTTTTAGTAATTCATTCTTTCAATACTAAATCATTATAAAAAAACTCTAAATTACTCTCCTTATTTATTCAGGAGTAGAATTTGGGGCACGAATGATCACAATTGATGGAAAGCAAATCAAATTGCAAATTTGGGATACGGTAAGCTGGGAGATTTGTGATCAAATTAGTTCATTTAATCTTATAGATTTCGTGGCATTTCCTCACTCAGCGATCTACCTATAAGACAGATATACGAATGTTCAATAAATGYTAGTTGTATGTGATAATTTATATAGAAAACAAAATTTGTATTTGCCGTTATGGCTTGTTTTGCGTTTGGCTATTGTGCTTGTTCTTCAAGAACAACTTTAAAAGCTTAACTTACTTATATGTTTTATATAGAAAAAAAAGCTTTAAACTAAATATCGTGGTTTCGTCTTTAACTGGTCTTGTTACGATAAGTTAGATGTAATATATGTTTACAGGGAAGTAGCTTTTCAGGAATTAAAGCTTTATGTAAGAGATGTCAGTTCCTAGCATCTTATCACACATGCATTACAATACAGCCATGCAAGAATGTAACTCATCGATAAAAGCTAGACATTTTTTATTTCTTATTGATATACGATTTAAACTTTGAGCAAACATACATTGGAAAATGTATTCTTTTAAATTTCGCTTTACATCAGCCATCAAAACAATAACTTCAATCYTAATAATTCTGACATTTCCATCTCTTTTGAATTTTTTGTTCTTGTTTTCTTTTCTGTTGATTATTGGTGTAATGCTTTTACTAGACTAGTAGTCCTGTTGTCAAGATGTATTTTACATTGGTTCTTTTTGGGGGAAAGATGTGAAATATTTTTGTGATGGCAGTCAGGTGGTTTGTTGGTATTTGATAAATCATTTACAGGATTGAAGGTCACTAGAAAAAACCTTTGTTCAAATCACACAATATAAAAACAATCATTTTCTTGTTATCTGTTATGAGTTAATTTGTATAATGTAAGAGATCTTAAACTTTCCAAATGCAAATCAATAAATAGACAGCTGATTTTGTTTTTCTTTTATTTACAATGTGAATATTTTATTGTTATCAGTAAAAAATATTCAAATTACTGTTGCTTCATTGTGTAGCATATTACCAAAACATCATTTAATTGTCAGAACTCCATGTAGTTCAAATTGTGTAACAAGACTTGTTAATATCCATGTGATATCATGTGAATATGACAGCAAGTTCTTTGTAGAATCCAGTTTATATGATGATAGCTGAGTATCAACCACTGAAGCCCATCACAGCTTATTTCTTTGATTTGTTCAACAATAGCACTAACTGCCAGTTCCTTTGATGACAGCTGAAGTTTATGATTTCATCAAGTATTTGAAATTAAAAACAATTATTTGCTTAGAGATCATTTTTATGAATATCAATTAAAAACCAATACAGTTTACTATGTTTGTTTACAATCAGTTAATTATTAGTGTTTGTTTACTAGGCTGGTCAAGAGTCGTTCCGTTCTATTACAAGGTCATACTATCGTGGAGCTGCTGGAGCATTACTTGTGTACGACATTACAAGAAGAGACACATTTAACCATCTAACAACATGGCTAGAAGATGCTCGTCAACACTCCAGCTCAAATATGGTTATTATGCTTATTGGTAACAAGAGGTATGTAATTCTTTTACTTCCTTCAAGTCTTATCATTTTATTGTGATAGTGATATGTTCCTGTAACAGATTTTCTTTGTACTTAGTGATCTTGAGGCTCGTCGTGATGTCCGAAAAGAAGAGGTAAGTGTAACTGTTAGGAGATGTTGTATTGCCAATCAATACAATGTTGGGTATAGGCCATACTATAGTACATCAATACAATGTTGGGTATAGGCCATACTATAGTACATCAATACAATGTTGGGTATAGGCCATACTATAGTACATCAATACAATGTTGGGTATAGGCCATACTATAGTACATCAATACTCTTGTCATGCATGTTGTACTTATTGATTGTTGCCTGTCTTTAGGGAGAAGCTTTTGCAAGAGAACATGGATTAATCTTTATGGAAACTTCTGCAAAAACTGCTGCTAATGTCGAAGAGGTAAATTTAATGCACACATCTGCATACACCTTTTTCAAAAACGTTCATGAGGAAAACAAATGGTAAACAGAGATTGGATGACCTCAAACGAACTATTGTTACAACTGTAACCTGTTAAACATACATAATGTTGTTGTGTTAACTTGTTGCTCAGTATTTAATCAGACACAATGCACCTGAAGTAGTCTCTTTGAGGAGCTTGATGGTTTATTTTCTCCAGCCTTTTTCAAGTTCTAATACCAAATCCTTTTTTGTTTTAGGCATTCATCAACACAGCAAAGGAAATTTATCAGAAAATACAAGAAGGTGTCTTTGATATCAACAATGAGGTAGGACTGACGATAAATGTATTACTGGTATTATTATGCTAAATCAGCCCAATGTATTTCATATCGGAAATACTTGTCAAATAGATAGACAAGAAAATAATGCTTAATACTGTTTAATCAACACTGTTTAGTAGAGATAAAGACAAATGTTTCACAGATGTAGTTTTTTTTGTTTTTTTTCATGCTGTTTTAATTCTCAGTGTCAAGTCTTAACTAGCGTTGTTATTAAGTAGTTTTAATAAAAACTTTGTTTTTTCTAGGCAAATGGAATCAAGTTGGGACCACAACACTCTCCCTCCAATCCATCAGTACCTCTTGGAGGAAGCCGATCTCAAGATGGTGGTGGATGTTGTTAGTTATAACATATACAATCATTAAGTCTATATTATCGCAAGAACTTGTGAAAAATTCACAAAATACTTGAAGAATTGTCATGGAGGCAGATGATACTGTTTGTTTGTTTATGTACGGGGCTCATTTGATAAAATTCAATTATTTTAGAAATATATGTACATGTCTCTTATACATGGTAAATAAATATTGTTAATTCTTATTGTACAAGATATAAGAACACTTTTCCTTTTAAACTGTCACCAGCAAATTTGTACAACATCCAGTTAATAGACTAGTATAATGTAAAATCACAGAAACATGAACTTGTTATTTCATATTAACCCATCAACATTGAAAGATGTCAACACTAAAGGAATATTGATCTAAGAATTGTCTTACTGGATATAAATATATCTAAAAATGACAATAATTGCCATAAACATCTTCCAATTAAATGTACAATTTATGTCTGACTATTTGCATTTCTGTTTGTACTTTKACTGCTTTTTTTATTTGTTTCTGGGAAATAAAACAGATTGCTTTTCCTAACTTCTTAATTCTAAAAAGCCTGAAGAATGTCAATTTACAGAGTATTCTGAAAATATTCTGGTGTGGCTGTTATAGAACTGATTATACGCCATCTCGTGACTGAAAATAAAATGGAGGAAGCCTCTACTTGCAACAATGCAAAATCATTTTTGCAAGCTAATTTAGTTTGGGCAATGGTTGTTGTATAAATTGGTATGGTAGTATTTTGATTAGATCATTGAAGAAACATTGACCTTGCTGCAAACAAACAAAAAAAAAACAAATTAAGAGAAATTAGTCCTCTGCTTAATGAATATTTCATTTGTAATCATTTACCTTCAACTGTTCACACTGGTCTGTTCTGATTCTGACTTGTGTTTCTCAAACAACGGAATACACAGACGTTTTCTTTGGCCCAAAACTCCCTAGGAGTGACTGGGAATTCCCTGCTATGCCGCATAGACAAAATAAATGCCTTCTTTTAATGGCTTTTATATAAGACCTAAACAAAATCGTATCAGAGTGTAAGGTTGATTCAAAAAACGCTAATTTAGATGTACATCAATAATTGATATTTTACTTCCGGTCATTTTACTTCCGCTTTTACTTCCTTTTGTATATAATATTTTATTTCCATTCTGTTTAGTTATTTATTTAATTTTTATTTTTATTTTTATTTATTATATCTTTCTTTTAGATATCACTGCTTTTTCTACATTTATAATTATGTTTATTGTTAGAAAAACTTTTACTTCCGCTYACTCAGACGTCGTACATGCGATCGAGGCACATATGGTGTGTTTGTTTTGAATCAAGTGACAAAGTTTCACTCTGCTCAAGACCGGTCCACAAGACCAGTAAAACAAGGTGAGTTAGCTTGAGATTACTAACGTCGAAAACTGTTAGTAATGCAAMCATTATAAATTCTTGATTGTCATTATTGTATTAGACTGATTCTGAGCTTTTAGATGCATACTAAAGTCTATTTCACGATCACTATAAGCTTATTAAAGTTCTTCAGGCCTTTTATACTCGGTACTCATTCAAATACCACAGTTCAATTATCTTCTGAATTAGAGTCCAATGCGCTTTTCTATTTAGCTATAAGACGAGATATATCGTCATGTTTAGGGTGTTTACCATTGCTTTCCATTGATATTTCAACATTGCCGACTTTGAACGAGAATGTCGATAAGCTATAAAAAGTGGAGGAAAACATTTCCCGGCTTATTATTATATTATTCTAACTCTAAGAATATACRCATTTGATTGGAAATGAATCATTTTTTCAAGATATCTCGAGGCTCAATCGATGTTTGAAAGCTTGCGAGGATAAATCTCATCAGGAAATAACACCTAATCAGTAAGGCCAGGGAGAGACCATTTTCCAGGGGCATCCTGCTTACATAATATTGTTAACCAAAAAATTGTTGTAGTGTGCAGTGCAAATGTACAATTTTTTGGGGGGTATTTGCTTCCTCTTCCCTTTCAAAAATTCATCTATAAAATTTCAATGCTCCGTACCTAAATTAAGACATGTTAAAAATATTTAAGCTTAAACACCAGAAAGGAAAACTTTTTTTTCAAATATTTTTATGAAATGCTGGGTTCTGACGGGATTGAGGACTTAAAATTCCCCATAACACATACTTTTTATAGGAGACAAGYGAATATTCAAGGAGAGTATGATTGCCGGCACGTCTCTTCTGCACGTACTGATTAGCATTTTGAGACAGGTAGCCCAAGCTCTACAATAGGCGCAGTTGTCTCTTTCACTATACTTTTTCTTCGTGTGAAGTTTCATGTCATTCGGATGAATAATTAGCGAGATTTTAAGAAAAGTACGGAGGCACGTTACAAAATACAAAAAATCTCGCTAAATAATAAAGGGCTATCTGTATGCGCTGTATGACTTCCTGCACGTCTTTCTGCAGGTACGAAAGGACTGGCATTTAGACACAGGTAGCCCAAGCTCTGGGCGCTTTTTGCTGAAATTCGATAAAAAATTGAAAAAACATCCTACGTTGTCTCTTTCATTGTCCTTTTTCTTTGTGYGAAGTTTCAGGTYATTCGGATGAAYAWTTAGCGAGATTTTAAGAAAAGTACRGAGGCACGTTACAAAATACAAWCAATCTCGCTAAATAATAATGGGCTACCTGTTTGATCTTTTGTCTATTTGAATGATCCTTCATTCAGCCACTCTGACATCATAGTTTATAAATTAGCCTCTGCAATGTCATAACAATCCGTACAGGGACCGCGGAGCGTGACTTTGTTTGGGGGGCTAGCAGCGAGGAGGTACTAGGRGGCTTCGAAAATTTTTGAAATCTTAACTTTCGAAATGTCATTTCCAGCGTTTCGAGGCGTTATCAAAGACATTTTTACTGCACACACGGTCAGCGATATTACCAATAAATTCCCAAAGACTTCATAAGGAGGCTCTTCGCTTCTTTATTTAAGAAAATTCAAAATGTTGCCAAATATTATTGGGGGGGGGGGGGGATGTTTTACCAGCCAGATGGTTTTTAAATTGATGACCAAGCAAATTTCTTAAACCTTGTTTCGTTTGTTTCTAGCTCGATATGGCTTCGGCATCTGAAAAAATTACTCTAGTAATCTGTGGTGGAGGAAATGCTTCTCATGCTTGGGCAGGGATCGCTTCTTCTCAACCCAACACCGAGGTCCGTGTTCTTACTTTGTTCCAAGATGAAGCASAGCGTTGGTCAGACTCGCTTGCCAAGGARGACTTTACCGTCACCCTTTACAAACATGGCGAGAAATGTGGAGAGTTRAAGACCAAACCAGCGATTGTAACAAAGGATCCTAGTAAAGCCATCCCAGGGTGTGACGTCATTGCTTTTGTGTTACCAGCATTTGCAGATGAGCTGTACTTGCAGGAAATCAAACCCTATTTGAAGCCTGACATGATTCTGGTAGGATTCCCAGGACAAGCAGGGTTCGAGTTTCAAGTTAAAGCAATCCTTGGAGACTTAGCCAATCAAATAAGTCTTATCAATTACGAGTCGTTACCATGGGCAACACGTATTACAGAGTTTGGCAAGTCATGTGATGTACTTGGGACAAAGAACGCCATGATGGGTGCTTTGAGGGTTGGATCAGGCAAGCCCAAACACGACCCCCATGATGTAGTACAGAAGTTGATAGGAGAAAAACCAACTCTTACCACCAAAGGTCACTTACTGGCCGCCAACCTCATGTCTGCTAATGCCATCCTACATACTAGTATCCTTTATGCCAAATGGTCAACCTGGGATGGAAAACCAGTCGCTGAACGGCCTTTGTTCTACCAAGGACTCAGTAAGGAAGCAGCAGCTCTTTTAAGCAGTATGTCTGATGAAGTACGATTGATTGCCGATGCTATTGCTGCACAGGGACCCCAATACGACATGTCTGAAGTGATTCATCTCCATCCCTACTACTGCGATCGTTACAAATACGATGTAGATGACAAGACATCACTCTACACAGCAATCCGAACCAATGCAGCYTTYAAAGGTCTTCTTCATCCAATGAAACAAACCGAAGACGGCAAATGGTTACCTGATTTTATCAACTATAGATACTTCACTGAAGATATTCCCTGTGGTCTTGTCGTCATGCGAGGAATTGCCGAATTAATGGGCGTATCAACTCCAAATATGGACAAGGTCTTGACTTGGGCACAARGGCTGATGGGAAAGAAATACCTGGTGGATGGKAAGATCAAAGGAGAAGACGTGAAAGATACCCGCGCACCTCARAGATATGGTTTCACTACATTAAAAGATATGGAATGACTTWAGTTGCTTTTGAACAACAAAAAATGTGATGTAAGATAACATGAAGTGTAAACCGTTGAGCCAACTTTATGTATTAGAGTAGAATAGAATAAAGTATAAGTTTTGATAACCAACGATGTAATAGTGGTCGACAAATATCGGCAATTGAAATAAAACTGAACAAATTGCAAGCTGAAAAAGAACCGAATCTTATTCGTGCTGCAGTGGAGGACATAGAACTTTCTCCAACATCCAATGGACTGAGTTATGAGCAGAGAGTCTATATAGGTATTGTGCATCATATATTCCATGCCAATTTTTGATGTTCTCTAMCACTTGTCCCTTTCAAAGTTTTTACGCTTTGGTTTTACCCGACTGCACCCCGTTTCTACTTCCATTTGGCCCCCTTCACCCCTCATACACACTTTTGTACCWCTCGTCCCTTTACCATTCTTGCGCACTTTTCGTTTGTTGTTTCTACCCATCGTATTAATTGAAGTGTGATGCAATCCATTCTATTCTTAGAATAAAATAATCCAACAACTAACTGCATCTCGTGCAAAACAAATCGTCAGTTTATTTTGTCGATAACTGATGCTACTATAAAAACATACGCTGATTGGCATTTTGGTTATCGAATGACTGAGACRGAGAGCGATAGCTCATCGAAAGATCATACCAAAGTTTRGCATAAGAGAATATGAAGCGAGAGGCAAAATAAAATTTTACATGTCACTGAAATCCMAGCGTTGCATAAATCCAAAATCAGACGTCCGTAACTTCCAGGYTTTTRKTATTTCCTATAGAGGYAGACGATGGCGTGACCATCACGGCTAAAGCCACAATCGGTTGAGTCGTGCAGATTATCATAATCGACGTACATTCAGGTAAGAAAACTGTCCTTTACTATAGAAATGCACTTGTTTTTATCTTCTTTGGACCGATTTTGTGTTTTGAAAATTTATYTATTTGTGTGAATGAATATATTTTTACTAGAGGGSTTTTGAAAACRTGAAACCGTGCGCCATTGCACATAATATATTAAAGCTTATGCAAACACAAYAYGATTTCTTGATCGTTGAGAAACAAAACAGYTAGTAAGACAGTAGAGGTGCATTTGGAACGGCAATGATTCCCTTTCTGTGTACATTTATTATTAWTTTTAAGGATATTCTGAACAGACGCTTAATACAGTGAAAATACTTCGAAGGRATGAATAATCTGTCATCTCTTTACAGTGAATGTGTTTGTTTCTCAGTCAAGATTGAATAATAAACACAAGATTGTATGTATAATCGCATGTTTACAACTGCATGTGGTTGTTTTTTTTCTCAAAAAGTCGTTATATACCGCCATTTTTCCAATGTGAATGTCTAATGTCTACCACACTTGTGTGAATTCCCGCTTGCTGATTGGCTGAAATAAAGTGTGACTTCTCGCGCGCTCAATCAATAAAACGAAGGAATGTTTTTTCGTATTACGCAAATCTTTAAGCTAAAAATGTATTTAAAAAAGTGTGTTGACGTCATAACCCGGCCCGAAGGGTTTCTTCGTGCCTGCGATCGCGGTTTCACGTGCATCATGCATTTGTAGTTAGTAGATTTAATACAATGACTTTTGGAATCTAACAGGTCTTACTATGGCAACCGAGTCCACAGTGCTAGTGATCTGCGGTGGTGGTAACGGTGCCCATGCGTGGTCAGGCATTGCTTCTTCTCAACCCAACACCGAGGTCCGTGTTCTTACCTTATTCCAAGATGAAGCACAGCGTTGGTCAGACTCGCTTGCCAAGGAAGACTTTACTGTTAGCTTTTATCGAGATGAGAAGGTTTACTCACAGCTCAAGTCCAAACCAAAGTTAGTCACCAAGAACCCCGAGGAAGCTGTACCCGGATGTGACGTCATTGCTTTTGTGCTACCAGCATTTGCGCATGAGCAGTATCTAAAAACCATTAAGCCATACATTGAGCCAGGAATGATTCTMATTGGTCTTCCTGGACAATCTGGTTTTGAGTTCCAAGTTCCTGGTATTCTCGGCGACGTCACCAAGCACTGYGCTRTCGTCAGCATGGAGTCGTTGCCATGGGCAACACGTATAACAGAGTTTGGAAAGTCATGTGACGTCGTTGGTACTAAAGAGTCGTTGCTAGGAGCAATAAGAACTGGTGCAACTCCACCCAAGAAAGACCCACAGGCCGTGTTACAAAGGCTGTTAGGAGAGAAACCAGTTCTGGACATTAGAGGTCACCTGATCGGTATCACTCTAATGTGTGACGCCTTCCTTCATCCCTGTATTATYCGAGACCGATGGGAAAACTGGGACGGTCGTCCTGTTGACAAACAGCCTTTGTTTTACCAGGGTATCAGTGAACAAGGAGCCAACTATCTCAGTCTCATGTCTGATGAAATACTCTCTGTTGTRAAAGAAATCACTAAACAAAGTCCCAACACTGACTTGTCCCGAGTTGGCCACACCTTTGACTGGTTTAAGAGAAGTTATGCCAATGACATTGAGGATAMGAGCACTCTATTCAAGGCCATTACGACCAACAAGGCTTACAAAGGGCTGGTACATCCAATGGTTCAAGCAAACGATGGTAAATGGGTACCTAACTTTAAACACAGGTACATCGTCGAGGACATGCCRTTTGGTCTCATTGTAGCACGTGGAATAGCCGAGGTTGTGGGTGTTGAAACACCTCATATTGATAAACTGATTGAGTGGACGCAGAATAACATGAAGAAGTCGTACCTCGTGGATGGCAAAATCAAGGGGGAAGATGTCAAAGACACACGTGCYCCTCAACGATATGGTTTCACTACTTTGAAAGACTTACTTTAATGGAGTAGTTTTAGCTGTATTTCATGAAATATAGAGTTTGATAAACAGTCATTATTGTTAGACATTGAGTAAAATATTTCTACAAGTTAGTTGTAATGATTTAGTGGAAGTGTGTTTTTTTTTTTGTATACTCAGTAAGAAGTAGTAAATAAAAAGATCGAGAATGTTACGATGTCATGAAAGCTCAACTTCTTTGCATGATTATATTGATTGACTGAGTGGGAGGGCCGTACGGGAAAATATTTGGCTCGAGGTTATGCCGTACTCAGTCAATAAGCATGTTATCATATGACAGCGTTTTTTTAATGTAGAAAAACTTAAATAAAAACGCGCGGAACTTCAAGCCGGGAAAATACGGGCCTGTCGCGAAAAGGCGTACGGCCCCCATCACGTGACCATTACCAAAGGTTTTTTTTATTTCGAAATACGGGTCATATGATAAAAACATTTATTAAAAACTGAGCATGAATCGAGTTGACATGAATCAAGACAAAATGACACAGTTGTGTCACAAAAATGAATTTAACACCGTAAAAAAGTAGGTGAAACAACATACTGACTTTTCGGACGTTAATCCGTCGTTGGAGTAAAGAGATGAGACAAGGCTTGGTGTGAGAGTATAATAAGAGGAGCAAAGCAAGACAAAATTATGAATAGAGACGAAATCTTCGAGCAAGCTAAGCCTACTAAATACAGCTTCTGCGGATTGTAAAAAAGGTAACTATTATTACATTTGTTTCACATTTAATAATAAAAGTAAAGGAAACGAAACGTATAAGTAGATGATTTCATTCACGACGTTTCGGGGTCATCGTGACTCCATTATCAAGTGATAAAAGTGAATGATAATTACAAAAATATATAGGAACAAGATTAGCATAATGTAATGTTATGAAAAACAATTGTTAAATAAASAATGTCATTAAGTGTCAGCGAATAGTTTGGCTTTTATCGAGTCACTTTGAACATTGAGAGTAGGTTTTAAGTCTCTCATGTAAAGCATTTCATAAACCAAACAGTCAAATTTTGAATTACATTTCTTCAAAACTTTAAAATATTTACAGATGTTAACTGGTATGAAATGGTGGTCTTTAATGAAGTGTTTTCCAATGCTTGAGCTTTTTAGCCTGTGTTCATTGCAGCGTTCGTGTAAGTGTCTAAGGGTATAATGGTATAACCCACATAGCTTTAATCACAAAAGCCACCTTGAAATTTATAAACGACACGCTGTTGGTTGACTAAAGATGGTTTTTGTTCTACATATTTTAAGGCGTCTGAGAGTTTTTGACTGACGAAAACAGGCTGGATAGAGACATTTATTTTGTTGCTGAGATAATATTTTGGATGCTTTTTGACAGTGTCCGCCGATTCTGGTCTTTGAATGGTAAAGTGAACCGTGCTATTTTATCCCTGGAGACATCCTTGGTAGGTTGTTTACTAGAAGTTTCACTCCGACACAAAGCGTTTAATGATGCCGTTGATTAAGGTGTCAGGATAGTGATGGTTTGAGAAAACACGTTCAAGTCGTCTGCACTCATCTGAAAAATAGTCCCACGAGGACGATAGTCGGTAAGCACGATCTAGCATTGTTCGCATAAAAACAGTGTTTATAACGTACATCCACGTGGCTGTTGTAATGCAAGAGCAATCCTGTGTTGGTCGGTTTAATAAACACTTTGGTATCAATTGATGTGGACCTATTGATTAGCTCGATTCCTACAAAGGGCAAAATACCGTTGTTTTCAAGTTCCTTTGTGAAGCGTACAGGAGGGGGCCAAGTGTTATTGCTATGGCGACCTTTGATTGAGGTATCCTTTAATATCACCTTATCGATGTATTCGATGATTTTGTGGCCTTTAAACTCCCGAGGACGAATAAAGCCTATCGAAATAAGCATTTCAAGTTAGTCGATGGAAGCACTCTTTCAAGCAGTGGTACAGCAGTATACTCACCCCCTTCTAAATGATCGATTCGTAATTTCTTGAACCTGAAAAATAATAGCATTATTCGCTTTTAGTTATAACTAAATACGCACACCTTTCTGTCTGTATTGGCAATAGATTATTAACCATTAATAGCACGCACCGCCATTACGTCCGACGGAGTACAGGATGTATTTGGTAATAGATTATTCGATGTTGATAATACGTACATGATTTGAATGTCTGTTTGCGTTAAGTGGATATCCCTCAGGTAAACCATTGTCTGATAAATCTAGATAATAAAACATCACTTCTACAAACCCTGTGGGTATCATCAATGTAACTAATAAAATGTATCTCGTAAATTAAAATGTATATCAGCGTAACGGTGAYCAACTGGTACTGTTCTCTGTCTTATTCATCACTATCAAAATCAACGAGTCTTACCTCATCATAGTCAAGCACTTTATCGCCATTGATATCCCAGTCATTGAATGACGTGTGATTACTCAACTCTGCATCCGATTGGTAGATATCACTGGGCTGCATCACGTGACTTTGTGCTATTTTGATAAGATGACTACATTCCGCATCAGACAAGAAATCCGGAATTTCTAGACAAAAGACAAACACAAAATCTTCAAATATTGCCCTATATAACTAACTACAAATGTGAATTGGCTCGTACCAAATATGGGAGGGCTAATGCTAAGCGTCCTGACTAAGTAAGGGTCCCCTGATGACGTCAGCTGCAAGCTTTGCACGTGACCAACCTATCAACGCATCATCATGACTTTATTTTGACAACAATGCGTTATGATAGCGTTCCATTGGAGAGCCTTTTTTTTTCTTATCCATTTTTAATTGTCATACAGTAATTTCTACAGTTTTGTTGTATCTCTAAATTGTACGTTCGCACACTGACAATGAGACCGAGTCAAGTAAAGTTTCATCAAAGATATACAATCACCATTATTGACTTATTCTGCACCTTGCACATGGATGTGCATGATATCAACATACTATTTTAACTTCTATATCATAATAACGTTAAATCGTGATATATAAAACCAGTTATGTCTCGTTAGTGATACCTTTACATCTTCAAGTCTTGGGAGTCGTGTACGTCTAATAAAACACGGCCCAATAGCAGTATCTTGATTGTGATTGGCTGMTATTTGGCACAATATTTCAAATAGCATAAATAATCATAAAATCATCAACAAAGATAGAGCGCGATCAAACATTCTTTAAACCGTAAATATTATCGTCAAACAACAAAGAGATGTTGATATTTAGTCTGGTACCGGTTGCTCGTACAGGTAACTTACGGTATCCCTGTGTTATACACTATTTCACTGCAATAATCAAAGAATATATTAATAAATAATTCCTCAACTTTTGGCTGCAAGGATGGTAGTAATTTAATTTTCCTATACAAATGTGAAACAAATGTAAAATAATGTTCTTTTATACAGCCAGTAGCTTCATCAACATAGCCTTCGTCTCAATACATTTTGTCTTGTCGACTCGATTCGTGCTATGTTTGTTAATCCACGTTTGTTGTAACTTAGAAGACCTTTATAACGTTCAGTATTACATTATTTTAACTAACTTAGAAATATTTTACTTAATTTTACTCAATAGTGACTGTTTATCAAACTTTATATTTCATGACATACAGCTAAAACTACTCCATTAAAGTAAGTCTTTCAAAGTAGTGAAACCATATCGTTGAGGGGCACGTGTGTCTTTGACATCTTCCCCCTTGAGTTTGCCATCCACGAGGTACGACTTCTTCATGATATTCTGCGTCCACTCAATCAGTTTATCAATATGAGGTGTTTCTACACCCACAACCTCGGCTATTCCACGTACTACAATGAKACCAAACGGCATGTCCTCGACGATGTACCTGTGTTTAAAATTAGGTACCCATTTACCATCGTGTGTTTGAACCATTGGGTGTGGTCGCCCTTTGTAAACCCTGTTGGTCGTAATGGCCTTGAATAGAGTGCTCTTATCTTCAATGTCATAGGGGTAACATCTCTTAAACCAGTCAAGGCTGTGGCCAACTTGAGACATGTCAGTGTTGCGACTTTGTTTAGTGATTTCTTTCGCAACAGCAAGCATTTCATCAGACACGCGACTAAAATAGTTGGCTCCTTGTTCACTGATACCCTGGAAAAATAAAGGCTGTTTGTCAACAGGACGACCGTCCCAGTTTTCCCATCGGTCTYGAATAAYACAGGGATGMASRAAGGCGTYACACATTAGAGTGATACCRATSAGRTGACCTCTAATGTCCAGAACTGGTTTCTCTCCTAACAGCCTTTGTAACACGGCCTGTGGGTCTTTCTTGGGTGGAGTTGCACCAGTTCTTATTGCTCCTATCAACGATTCTTTTACACCATGCACCTCACTTGACTTTCCAAACTCAATTATACGTGTTGCCCATGGCAACGTATCCAAGCTGACGACAGCACAGTGCTTTAAAATGACGTCGCCAAGAATATCACGAACTTGGAACTCAAAACCAGATTTTCCAGGAAGACCAATTAGAATCATTCCTGGCTCAATGTATGGCTTAATGGTCTTTAGATACTGCGCATGCAAAAAGGCTGGTAGCACAAAAGCAATGACGTCACATCCGGGTATAGCTTCCTCGGGGTTACTGGTGACTAACTTTGGTTTGGACTTGAGCTGTGAGTAAACCTTCTCATCTCGATAAAAGCTAACAGTGAAGTCTTCCTTGGCAAGCGAGTCTGACCAACGCTGTGCTCTATCCCGGTTCAAAGTTAGAACACGGACCTCGGTGTTGGGTTGAGAAGAAGCAATGGCTGACCATGTATGCGCACCGTTACCACCACCGCAGATCACTAGTACTGTGGACTCGGTTGCCATAGTAAGTTCTGACAGGAGACCTGTTAGATTCCAAAAAAACATGGAATTAAAACTACTCACTAGAAATGTATGATGACGAAGGGGGAAAAAATATAAAAATGGCTTTAAAAATCAATCTTTATTCATAAAACTTTTATACTAATTAAAGAAAAACGAAAAGAAGAAGAAAGTCTTGAAAAGTCTCAAGAAATGAAGTAGAAAAAATTTACGGCTTCATGAGGGCTCGAACCGCGAACCCCGCAATTAATACTTTGACACCGCCGTGAAAGCAACAYAACTGTTGAGCCTGGGCCCCCTGTGCTTTGAGGGGCACTCGTAAACTTTGTGGTGATGTTCCATACTCGTCCCCAGTGCACCTCGGTCGTCCTTTCTCCCTTCGTTAGCACTGGTAACAGCCGTTTGAGGCTCGATGCTGATTGGCTAGAAAGTTCGAGCATGCGCGATTTTCGSCRTACATTCAACCGWCTSTCCKCGCTCTTGATTGGTCGATTTATAAGGATGCTCGGAGCTTTTTAGATGGAAACCTAGTGCGCATAAAGCCAAATAAACAAAGCTGACCTTTTCCTAACGGGCTCAGGTTGAATTTCAAAATGGCGGATAAGTCGTGTAGTCTGTCCGAAGCTGTAATCAAAGCCAAATTACGACTAGATATTTCTTTTAACCTTCGTGCCGAACAAGAAAATGTGTTCAGAGTTATTGCTTACGAAAAAAGGCTCTGCATTTGTGTTCTGCCTACCGGATTTGGGAAGTCTCTTAATTGTATTATTTTTGAAATGGACTAGCTTTCAATAAACACTTTTATAATTTAACAATTGACATAATTGACTTATTACTACTTATTGAATAAAATGTATATATCACAGAAAAGCTATTGTCATGGATTGAATGAAGTATGCAGTGCTTTTGAGAATCATGTATTTGAATTTTCTCTGACACAAATCCAGTGTAATGACCCCAGAAAATTCTGTCTTTGGTTGTTGTAAACTTTTCTGATGAATCTTTTACAACTTATAGTTAGAGATTATGTCCTTACAGTTATTAAATAATCATTGCTTTGTTGTGTGAAGGTGTTCCAGTGATTGCATACAGTGTAGGTTTTAGTCCTAAAATACTGTATTTCAATGACTAAACAGTTTGGTTTAGATGTCAGATAAAGCTCAAAAATGTAATCCTGAAACTTTTAAGGTTCAACATTCATCATTACTATTGAATATCATACAGCTACAGAACACCTGAAAATAAGAACCTTGTTTTTTGAAAGTCTGGCAAAAAAGGATCTTGTTTTATGGGGTAGTTGTTGGTAATTTTTGGCAAAACTGGTTTCGTCCGCCATCTTGGATTTGGGCATTATTCGCTAGACGTTCCCGAGAAAGTCACGTCATTACAATAACAGAAACGAGGAACGCCTGGGGACTAGGCTGAGTGCTACGTAGATTCTCCCGTATATGTGTGATGTTCAATTTCAATCTGCGCATGCGTTCTTCGTCTACATTGTGTAATGAGACGAAATTTGTCACGATAAATTATACTTTTTTCGCTCATGGGGGTATCCATCAAGGTAATAATCGCTTTAGCGATATTTCTAGGGGAAGACACCAGTGTGCTTTTATGCCGAGTCTTTCAGCTTTATTGTGTGGCAAATCGTGCGATGCTTTTGTAGTCATGGACAACCGAAATTATCGATGGAGATGCTATGCTTATTGACCTAAAAGCTTGAAGAACGCTCGATACCTTACTTGCGCGTTGTAGATTATACTGGAAATTTTAAAAGCATTTGTTGTCTAGCGGGCATTGGTCTTACAACGCGCAAGTCACAACCAGCAACACAACCAAGAACTACATCGGACTGACAGAAGGAACATTCAAACCTCGTCTACATCTACATTTAAACACAGAAAACACATCAACAGCACCGAACTTTCTAAGTACATCTGGCAACTACACGACAAAAAAAAAGACTTCATAACATCAAAATTATCAGCCGTGCAAGACCCTATACTACAACATATCCAAACGATGTGACCTCTGCCTTACAGACTAAACTAATGATAATTAAAAGCAGCAACGACAATCTACTAAACAAAAGATCAGAACTCATCTCTAAATGTAGCCTGTGTACATCCGTTTCTCACCATGTACACAGGCTACTCTAAATGCCGACACGAAAACAAATTCTACTTGAAGAACACCTGACTCACACCTACGCGGTTTTAATTAATAGCGATACTCTTCTGGGTCGGTACAAAACATGGACCGGGGGTCCATGGACCACCATCGTGGACCTATTTCATGTTTTTTTGTTTTAAAGCACTTGCCATGAGCTTGTACTTTGATGCTTGTACGAAGAAACTCGTGTTTACAATTTCACAAGCCGCTATTTTGTCAATAYTAGTGCCCAGTCTCTCAATTGGGCTTCCTGTGTATAATACCAGTAACATGGATACAGATTTTTTCATAAAGAATCCAAGGATTTTTCGAGGACTTTTTAAGGATTAACATTCAATTTTCAAGAACTTCGCTACCTAAAGTGTAATACTCATTTTTCGCATGTTAACATGTGCACAAAAACAAGGTAGGATCCACCATATTCGACAAAACTAAAAACAAGCATCCCAAAACGATTGAATTCTTGTCATTTTGTTCCAAAGCTTGTCTAAATTGATCCCTAAAACATTACTTTACAACAACCAAGACTGATTCAAGGACTAAATTGTCATTTTCAAGGACGTTTCAAGACTGTACGAGCCATGTGCAACCAATAGTCATTGTAACTGAGTACTTTACTGTCCTGTTGAAGGGACTCAGGGAGAGTAACTGGAAACTTTTGCAACGATGATTTTCCCTTTATTTACTGCAATTGCATATGGTTCTAATATCAACAAAGCCAAGTCATATACAGAATAGTTCTCAATATCAACATGACAACAGAAAAGTGTGTTATCGATTCAGAAAAGCCTAGTCATAGAGCGAATTTCGTATGAGTGGGAAACGGACGGTACTGTACTGTGACCGTAATCGTACTGTAACCAAATTCTAGTGCCCCATTGGTTCACCAAAATTGTGCAGGCCAGGTTCGGTAACTGTGCGGTAACCATGCGGTAACGGTGTCCCACTCATACGAAATCCGCTCTATACTGATGGTGCTAGACTCAGTAAAACATCCAATCTTTAACAATATCAACATGTCAGTGGACATGTAAAATAGCAGTTGTACACCAAATACAATTTAATTGCTCCTATTTCTATTAGCTTTGCTTTCAAGCACTCTAAATGTTTTTTGATATTTCACAGTTCAACTGACTTTATGCACTCTATAAACTGGTACAAGTGCTTTAAAATAACAAACATGAAAAAATATATATTTATATTTTAGGGTGGTCCACGAAAATTGGTCCATGGACCAGTCCATGGATAGGTCCACGATGGCGGTCCATGGACCCC